ACCTTCAAAGTGCCTACCATAGCATATTTGTTGTCGCAGCGGTCGTCAATGGCGGGGGAGATTCAATCTCAGCACAATGCTGCGTAGTTGGAGCACCGAAGCTAAAAAAAGCCATGGGTGAAGTTTCTTATGCATTTTTGCTGATGTATTTCAACCTAAAGCAGCTGAAATCTCATATAGATTTGCCCCACTAGAAACCACATTTTCAGCTCTCAACTCAATGAAGCAATCTAAATGATGGAATACGAACGTCCTCTCTATGGTGAGGAGGAAGATGATCCAGGTGACCATCTAAGAAATTTATTATACCTTCTAGAATATTTGGTACCTAAAAAAGTATCCACGAGTGCTTTTAACTCAAGACTCTTTCCTTTCTCCTTGAAAGGAAAAACACAAGATTGGTTGCAATCTCATCCAACTGGAACCTTCAAAACTTAGGATTTCCTTGCCCAAGCCTTCTTACAAGCTTATTTCACTATTGAATGTCAATTTTTTTTTTGGCTTCCAGCAAAGGTTCTTAGACTGATCGAAGAGGTTTGTAATAAATTTTTGTGGGGTGTGGATGGCGATATGAGGAAGAGAGCCCCTGTTGCTTGGTCTAAAGTTGCAATGTTAAAGAAGGAAGGGGGTTTGGGTATTTGTGATTTTAAGACTTGGAATAAAGCTTGTAATCAGACATTTGTGGAATTTGTTAGCTGAAGCTGGTTCGATGTGGGTGGCATGGATGGACAAATACAGAGTTCAAGGGAGAAATGTCTGGACTCTCCCTGTCAGCACTATTAGTACGTAGATTTGGAAGAAAGTTCTAAAATGCATAGGGTTGGCGCAGCCGCGCAACAACACATAACTGGTACATGAGCAGCATTGGCTTGGGACAGAGTTAATATTGCCAGATATTTAGTTAAGCTTGTCTGGGCTTCAATTAGAGTTCTCGTCCCTTCTGTTACATGGTATCATGATGTTTGGGGTAAGCCAGTCTATCCGAAGCATAGTGTGATGTTGTGGTTAATCATTTTGGATAGAATAAAAAACAAAGACATGTTGAATGAATGGGATATCCACTGTGATCCATGTTGTGTCTTGTATCCAGGGGGTATCGAGATTAGAGATCATCTGTTTGGGCTTTGTCCATTTGGTAATGCAGTTTTGAAGAAGGTGTTGAAGGGCGTGTGTGTTTGGTCGGAGTTTGTGGATTGGCAGGCGCACTTGGCTTGGGATGAACAGAAGTGGATGCAATCTAGTGATACAGCTGTAGTTGGGAGACTCGTATGGGTAATGGGACTCAATTTTATTTGGTGATAACGATGTGCTAGGCTATTTGGTACTTCAGCAACTCTCTCCCCAAATCAAGTCTCACTCAAGCCATTGAAAGAATTCAAGATTTTCGCTAGTAGTCATCAACCTTTCCAATTGAGAGCACAAAAAGTATTAGGTTCATTATTTCAGTAGTTCTTGTTTTTGTTCTGTTTTAGCAGTTTGATGGTTGTAAACATACAATTGTCTTATTGAGAGGGAGTTTTTGTGAGTTGCAACTCCCCGGGCTTCAATACAATTTTTGATTAACCATAAAAAAGAATATTTTATCACATTGAAGACCCGTGAGCTATGGGATCACTTTGTAAGGTTCAAAAAAGAGGACGATGAGACACTCAAAGATTTTTGGACCCGCTCTAAAGATCTATTTTGGTATTGTCCACATCATGGGCTTAGCTTGGAGCAACATGCATAATAGTTCTATAAGAATTTAGGCACTCTCATGACTCAAATACTTGGAGATGTCACTCAAATCACTGCACAAGCCAAAGTGAATCACTATTAAAATATGGCTAGCAGAACTAAATGGAGGAAGTGAAAGTAGCTCCTCAACCAGTTATGGCCATTTGAGCTCAACCAAATATCAAATTCACGTTGTTGCATGAGCTTGAAGGGATAACCAAGAGGTTGCATCACTCGATGTCTAGCGTGTTGCAGGCACCATGACAGTATTGAGCATTTGTTCTTTAGATACCCCTTAGCCATTCAAATACGGTCTCTAATGAGTCTAAGTGATTTACTAGTTTATGTCCCAATTATTATTTTAGCTTATGGTGGCGAAATGTTATACTTTCTGAGTACTCCCAATACCAAATTATCTAATGTGTCTGCATATTATTTAAGTTTAATCAACCACATGTCCATTCTTTAGCTCGTCAATTTGTGTTTCAAGTCCTTAAAGTTTCTTCTTCCTCTCCTAATTAACGATTTGAATCCTCTCCCTCCGCCTTCAGCTTTGCCTCATTGGGTTACGTCTCCTAACATTGCCCTAAAAAGCTTCATCGATGTTGTTGTCCGTAATATTGGTTATGCTTCTAGCTTGGTGATTCATGGGTCGGTTGGGCATATTCTGCTAGCAGTTGGATACCACCATTATGGAGTGTTACATCTCTATGTTGCAGAGGTACTTGCTAGTAGAGATACCCTCTTAGTCATTGTTTACAGAAGACTTCCTCGCGTTATACAAGAAGGTGATTTCGAGGATGTGTTTCGTCATCTTCGTCTGGGTGTGTTGGAGGATTCTCCAGGAGGCCCCCTGCCCCGTTAACATCTTTATTTGATTTCCTTTGCTTCTCTTTGTATAGCCTAATTCGGGGCGGTTCCACGAATTGCAAACTAGGTTGCCAAAGAATGGCGCGTAAAGCCCTGTAACTGTCTCCTTTAGAGTTAGTTTCTGTTGTTTTTATATGGCGGCTTCAATAGGGTGCTATTTTGAGAGGGTTCCTACGACTTGGGTGTACTTTTCATTTATAATTTTCTCTTCTACAAAAAAAAAATCATTGTATACATGATAATAGAAATATATTAATCATCATTTACCATATTTTCTCACCATTTACCACTAGTTACCATCGTATATCAAGATGGTATATTTGGTCCTAAATTTTTTATTATAGAAACCTATAGATCGAAATATATCACAATGAATCTGTTCCTTATGTGTAAAATATTTCAAAATGGTTCCAGTAGTCAAATAATAATGATCGATTACCAGTAGTCAAATTTAGCTAATTAGTAACTAACGGTTAAACGGTTAACCGACTAACCTATTACAACCATCATCACAGTTAGAGACGAAAATAAAAATAATGGATGTTTGAAGGCATACAAAATCCCTTGCATACCCTAGTTGTAATAATGGTTTAGGTTCAAATGAGAATAATTTTAAGGAAGGGAACGACTCTAAACTTCCATATAGTTTCGTGGGATTTATGAGTTGAGTAATTATTGTTGGGTCTCTTTCTTATTTGCTTGTTTAATAATATATATTTGACCGTAGAATGGTGTTATTGTGTACTCATCTTGGATTGCCATATAAATATATATAACTATATATGGTGACTACTTCGGTGCACTCACAAAAATGAGTGCGTTCAATGCACCCAACTCAAAAACTAGACTTAAGGCGTCGGATTTTGAATTTTAATTTGTAGAATTAGTGTAATATGATGATATAACATATGACAACAACTAATTAGCCGATTACCCTAAGCCCTAAACCTTCAATTTTGATTTCTATCCCTAAACCCCAAATTGTAAACCCTAACCCTAACCCTAAATTTCTAAACTATAAATCCTTCAAATTAAAGTAAATCTTTAATGGTTTTTGTGCAAATTCATGTGCGTTATTGTTCATCACATCATAAGTGATGATTGACATAATTTTGACATAAATTGCATGTTTAAAATGACGGTTATGAAGTGAGTGCACTGAATGCACCCAAAAAAGTGATTGCACCGAAGACGCCACTATATATATATATATGTTATAAATTATTTTTATCTTAAAAAAGGACAAGTAAATATGTAGGAATATTCATAAAAAATGTAGGAAATTTTTTACAAAAATGCATAATTGAAAGAGAGGTGGAAGTTTTATGTTGGTTAGGTTATCAATAATTTATTTTTGTCTAACATTATCGAATTACTTGGTCAATGGTTATCTAGTTGGTCGACAAAATAATCGATCACCGCTTATAGAATTACAGCTAATCAATTAATATAAATGATGCGGTTAAGAATAAGTGATAAACACAAATTGCTTAACGGTTAATTGATAATCGAGGTTGGAGTGATAACCGAACTGACTTACTGTTGGTGTGCAACAAGCGGATTGGGTGGGTTTTAACTATAAAAGTAATCCACCCACTCATGAACGGATTGGCAAATTTCAACCCGCCGCCCACCCACACTTTCTAGCGGGTTGGGTCGGACGGATAGCGGATTATGCGGTTGGATTGTCAGATTCACCCACAATATAGTAAGTAATAAAAAATTGAAACATCTGTACAAAATAAAATAATAGCAGCGGGATGAACTGGTTATAAACAAGTGCAAATCTACCAGTAGAGACTTGGGGAAATTGAAAAACGCGATTGTACTCATAAATTTGGAATCTGTAAATTTGAAAGCGAGTATAAATCCAATATATGACTCATCAACAAGCTAAATAATAGTAAAAGAAAACAATTTGTACTCATATTTCAAAAACAGAGATGAAATTCAAGTAAATTATCAATTAACAAAATTAACATCATTGATTAATGAAAGTGGTGATTCCTTAACCAACACATCCATTCAGCAACCTCTATATATAATCACGTGTGTATATATAATTATATATAAGTAAATGTATATATAGAATATGGTGAGAAGCCGATTGATTTGGGTAGGGAAGTAAGGAAAGAAGACGAGACCTAGCCGGCAGACGGCAACAGTGTTGTGATGTGTGATGGTGATCGAGTTTGCGGGTAACCCCGTGGATTCACCTACGAACCACCCACCTCCTGCGGTCTGCGGATCACCATTTAATATTTATCCTATCCGCCACCCATTCACTAACCCGCCCACATAATAATGAGGATTGGGTCATTTTGCGGGCGAGTCGGGTCAGATCCGCGGGTCAGCAACCCGCATGCCCAGCCCTAGCACGGGGAGTAAATTAGAAAAACGAACATTCCCGACGTTATCGAAGAACAAAACCAAAACCTAATTCCCTACTGCGCTTCTCTCCCCTCCCTCAACCCTTGCCTTTCTCCGAGCAGTAGCCGCCTCCCGCTGACGGTCGCCCTTCCACCAGTTTCTCTGTCCTGATTTTCTTCCTTCCCGTCAGGTACTGACTGCTGATTCTGTTAGACTTGTTTGGTTTGAGATTACTGGGGATTGAAGTGGTGGTGGGATTGTTAATCGTGGGTTTAGGGTTTTTCAAACTAATGGGAATGGAAAATTTTGCAGTTGATTACTGTGTACCTTCGAACAATTCTGCCAAATTTATAAGTTTGTTTCAGTTAACATTCAACCAGGTTAAGTGTGGAAATAACGCACTTTGTAGTTGGGGTTTTTTCATATGCTCGCAGAAATCTATGGTTGTAGTTTTACCTTCTGTTTCTGATGTGTTTGGTTTGCAGATCCTATTACTGTTTTCTTATTCTGCGCCAAGGATGAGCTTGATTTCTCAGAATGCGGGTTCTAGGAACCGAGCCAAGACCGCTAGAGAGACGGCAGACGAGCCTGCCTTTATGGGAGGTGGTGGTGGTGGTGAAGATGGTGTTCTCAAAATGAAAAAATCTGAGTTGGGGTTGTCTGCTGCAAAGAGAAGAAGGAAAGAAAAGGACGAGCAAACAGCAGTTGAGGATGTGAAGGAAATGAAGAAGCTCGAGAATTTCCTGTTTGGATCGTTATATTCCCCTGTGGAATTTGGAAAAGATGAAGAAGAGCAAGTTGCCGCGGACAATGAGGGTTTACCTTTGTTCTTCGTTGACCGTTCAGCAAACAATGGGATGCAAGCTCAGTTCTCAGACGAGAGTGAAGACGAAGGAGAAGAAGCAGATGAACGTAAGCCCGTGTGGGTCGACGAGGAGGAGGAAGCCACGAGCATCAACATTGCTGAAGTTAGCCGATTGAGGAAGCTGAGGAAAGAGGAGGAAGAGAGCCTGATTTCTGGTTCGGAATATGTTTCAAGGCTGAGAACTCAACATTCTAAGATGAACCCAGGCACTGAATGGGCACGGCTCGAGAGAGCTGATAGCAGACTTCATAGCGATGAATCTTCAGATGAAGAGGACATTCTTAGGACAAACGAAGATCTCGTGGTGAAGAGCTTGTCAAAACTGCAGCCTGGCATTCTTAGCTGCTCTAGACTTGTCGATGCCAATGCTCAAGAGCCTTCTAATGGTCCAATAAACTCGGTTGAGTTCCATCGCAACGGTCAGCTGCTGCTCTCAGCTGGACTGGACAAGAGGATTCGGTTCTTCCAGATCGATGGCAAACGTAACACCAAGATACAAAGTGTATTTGTCGATGACTGTCCAATCCGGAAGGCATCCTTTTTACCGGATGGTTCACAGGTCATTATATCAGGGAGAAGGAAGTTCTTCTACAGCTTTGATTTAGTGAAAGCAAAAGTCGATAAGATAGGTCCACTTGTTGGCAGGGAAGAGAAAAGCCTGGAGAATTTCGAGGTTTCTCCCGATTCAAAGACGATTGCTTTTGTGGGCAACGAGGGTTACATATTGTTGGTGTCATCAAAAAGTAAGGAGCTCATTGGTACTGTGAAGATGAACGGCACAGCTCGCTCCATAGCTTTTGCTGGTGACGGCCAGCAGCTGATTACCCATGGTGGTGATGGTCAGGTGTATCACTGGGATTTGAGGACAAGGACTTGCATACACAAGGCAGTTGATGAAGGTTGCATTAATGGCACTGCGCTAAGTTGTTCACCGCTGGGGAACTTCTTTGCAGCAGGTTCAGACAGCGGGATAGTGAATGTTTACAACAGGGAGGAGTTTTTGGGCGGGAAGAGGAGGCCGGTGAAGACCATTGAGAATTTGACAACGAAAGTGGATTTTATGAAGTTCAACAGTGATGCCCAGATACTAGCGATATGTTCGACGATGGGGAAGAATGGGATGAAGTTGATACATGTTCCATCGTTCACCGCATTCTCTAACTGGCCACCACTAAACACGACGCTGCACTACCCTCGGTGTTTGGATTTCAGTCCCGGTGGAGGTTTCATGGCCGTGGGAAATGCTTCTGGTAAAGTATTGCTGTACAAGTTGCATCACTACCATCACGCATGAGTTAGTAGTAGATGGTCGTTGTTTTGTAGTTCTTCAGTTGTATTCCCACCTTCCCTTTTTGGACTTTGTTTGAAGTTTCCGTTTTTCAGTTTGCAAACCCAAATTTTGGCTAGTGTAGATTGCCTAATGATTTGCCTTGGAGGCGAAGCCATTTATTTATTTTTGCGAGTACTTTCAACATTTGCAGCAAAATAGGGTTCCGATTATACCTTACCATGCCCAAAGCAAAGAGCTTGTGACCATACTTCTGTACAGAAACTGAGAGCTGCTGTTTGGAAGCAGTCGTGGTACTATGCTGGGCATAACCCCCAAGTCTAATTTCCAGATGGAGTTATAAGCAGGTTTGGGTTGGGTTCAATTAGGTCATCGGGTTATAGGTTAGTTGATTGCGGGTTCTGTCAGGTTCATCATTTGGGTTTGGGTTCATCGAGTTACGGGTTAGTCAGGTTCTGGTTGAATTGGGTTATGATCAAGTTGGATTTGGTTGAATATGGTTGCAACTTAACTAGGTTACGAGTTCATCGGTGATGTCTGAACAAGCCACAAGAGGTTCAACCAACCATCAATGATATGATTTCTGAGGGTAGACAACAAATTATTGCAAATACTTTTAATTTATCAACACAAAAAGGCTAGTAATGTTTGGACAACTTGAACTACAACCGTTTTAGGCATAAGGAAAATTCTCTAACCTCGTGGGAGCTTCGATGAGAAGGAAATTTCTACTAGGTTTTCCGATTTCCCTCTAGGTTTGTGATAAGGTTCGAGTAGCAACGACAATTCAACCCGCACCTATGAGTATCGAATTTGACCCAACATAGTCAAAGTAGATAAAATTCAGTGTTGATACACTTTGGGTTGGGTGTGTACATGGGCGATGGGCCGTGTTTGGGCCGACACGGCACGGGCACGCTTCGGGCCGACACGGCACGGGCACGCTTCGGGCCCATTTATTTCGTGCCGTGCTTGGCACGGCCCGTCAGTTTTCGTGCCGTGCAATGCAAGCCCATTTGTCAACTTTGTTAGGCCCGTGCACGGTTCGAATTGTGCCATGCCTATTCGTGCTTGTGTCGTGCTCGTATTTGTGTTTAATGAAAAGGACGAAAACAAAAGAGAAAATGAAAAAGAATGTGAAAATTTGACGGGGAAGATAGTATTAACCGATAATGTTTGAGAAAAGTAACAAATAGGGGGGGGGGGGGGGAGAAAATTGGAAGTATAGCGAGTGTGATTTGGCTTTGTTTAATTCTTTGTCCATTTTTACTTGTGTTAGTAATTACGTATATATCTTTATGACACTTCTAACAACAACAAATAATTGTTTTTACTACTTGTGTTTTGTAATATTCGAACCTATAATTCTTTTTATACTTACTTTCTATCAAATAAATATTATTTTTGTGTCATGTCCGTTCTTATACTCAATAAAGTCTCGAAAATATTAGGCCCGACACGACCCACTTATATACCGTGTCGTGCCCGTGCCATGAAGTTTAGGCACGACACGACCCATAAATTATTCGTGCTCGTGCCGAGCTGGCCCATTTATTTCGTGCTCGTGCTCGTGTCGTGCTCTAACCATGCTCGTGTCGTGCTAGCCCGTGGGCGGCACGACCCGGTGCCCACGTACAGTTGGGTGCGAATTTACCAACTTTTGAAATTGGCGGGTTGGATAGGGTTTGGATTTTGTCAAAAATCAACCCGCTTTCCATCCCACCCACCGCGTAAAAGCAAACGAGGTAGGTTTGTATCCGATAGCAATATGAATAATTTATGGATGTTATTAGTCTTTATGAAGATATATTTGCAGTAAATTTTTTATAGTATTACGATGTGGGTGTTCAAAGAAATAAATTACGGTTACGTCTGTAAACCCATGGGTAGCCAACTTAGTAACTTACCCATGACCCATGCACTCTTGGGTATCCGTTGGGTTTCCTCTTCCAAAACCCAGTGAGTACTTTAGCAAGTTTTTTTTTACGGCTACACCCGCTTGGTTGGGTTTTGAGAATCCCGACCCAACCTGATCCATTGTCATCCCTAGTTTGGATGTGGATCTCTTGGACTCAAGCACTATAGATTAATATAATCTATGTTTTTCTAGTGGGGTAGACGTGATTGTTTGTGTTTTGAGAGATTTTGTGTTTCAAAAGAGCAACCCATCTTGTGATTAGCTTTTCCGCTAGTGATCCCGGAGTGAGCTTTTTGAGAGAGAGTTTTCGAAGTATCTAGTTTGATACCAACCGTCTGTTCTTGAAGAAGGGAAAGGGAGGAGGAAAGAAAAAAGTGGACGGAAAGTTGGAAATCCGAGGACTTTCCCCCGTTTCTGAAGCGAGGAAAAGTATAGGGGAAGGGAAAATGATGGGGACTAACCACGGTAGTGCAAACGTCTCCCAAATCGGAGAGAATCGAAGGGAAAGTCAATTTTGATGGGTTGCTCCAATTTTTTGTTTATTTTTTGTTAAAAGTTCGCTAACGATAAACTAGGTAAGAAGCTTATTTTAATTTTTTTTTATGAAACTTTAACTCCATGCTTATCTTTTATTATTCTCTTTCCTTTTAATGTCATACTTATAATTAATTGGTAGTCGATTATTGCATTGAGGTTTAAATATTTGACCGCCTATTGGACAAAAAGGTTAAGATTTTTTTTTTATAATTAGTTAAGATATTTGACCGTACAATTTTTTATTTATGATAGATAGTCAATCTGTTGGGAAAATTAGCAATATAATATTTATGTTTAAAGGTTATCAAATCAATTTTTACGGTTGCAACGGTTTAGTAAGTGACATGGTTCGATAAAGTGTGGTTCGATTGATGAATCAATAAAATAACGAATAAAATTTTAATAATAGGTTTACAAAAATATTCAAATCATCTACTTTTTATTTTTGATAGTGAACAAATTAGTAAAAATTAGAAATTTTAATTCACAATTCATAACAAATTAAAATAATATCAACATATAATCAAATTATTTTACTATTATATACTCAATAAAATAACATATCTATCACAATTCAAAATACACATTTTCTTTCCCACTTTCCTTCCATTTTCCTTAACCTCCAAATTGCCCCGTCCTAATTCCTTCCCCTCTCCTCTATTTTCCTCCCTTCCTTCGGTAACAGAGGGCAAAGGTCTCGATTGGATTGGCGAGCCTAGTTTTGCCTCCTACAGCTAGGCCAAGGGAGATTTTTAAACCTATTTTTCATGTCTCTTTGTTTTGTCTCTTGAGGAATACGATTACTTGAGATGGAAGGAAAATCAAAGGAGATAGCAATAAAAAAACACCAAAGATCTACTTGTAAGCCGAAGCACAAACAATAAAGGGAAATCCTAGCTATTGTACAAATGAAAAAGAATCCCCTATCCAGATGATAATTGGGGATGTACCTAACACACCAGATGAAAGCTTAGAAAACAAATCAACTCACTTAAAATTGAAGACATAGAGGAACCTATCGTGGTTGTAAACGAGGATTATGATGCAATGTTGGTAGAGGCAATTCAATGATCGGACTAGTATGGAGGTTGGTGATTGAAAAGAAACCCAATGTGAAGTCAATGAAGATCTCATTGGAAAAGGCCTAGAACTTGAAAAAGAATTTCCAATTTTACAGCTGCAACCCTCGCCCACAGAATTGCTCATAACATCACTGATTAGCTGGTAGCTCACAATAAAATCAACAAAATTGAAGGTTCAATATGGCTCATAAGCTTCTTGCGCAGAACTTGACTTTTGTGTTCTACCCCACTCGCGTCCGCTTCAGCTCTGGTGGTGCCATCTCTTGCTGGGTCTCCTAGTTGCCTCCTTTTCATGGCTTGTCACACGCTTCGATGGCTTGCTGGTTCAATTCTTGTAAACTGCCACTCCATGTTGCTGTCTCATTCTTGTCCCTCTTTTCGTTGGAGGCCACCACCAAAGGCTCGGTGGCGCAAGGGGAGCGGCTGGAGGCGCAAGAGGGGGGGGGGGGGGCTGGAGGCAGCAATCCAGGAACTCCAGGCCCTCGTGGCAGGGATGGCCGAACGGATGGCGAGGACGGGTGCCACCTTGCTGATGCTTGTGGCGCAGCTGGAGAAGCTCACGCTGCAACATGAAGGGAATGAGGTAGTTTCGACCCCCGACAATGAGGAGAAGCAGTTGGATACCCTATTTCCAAGCGTGACCGTCATCGACGGGAAGCGAAGCGATGACAACATGGCCCGCATTGATGCGAATGACCCTAGAGAGGCGGAGGATATCGAGATCTCCGTCAACAAGATCGACGGGAAGAAAACAGGGCACAGGGATGATTATCACCTATGCGAGGCTCTCACCTAACAGTCTGGAAGCGATAGGAAGAAAATAGTGCACCGCAGTGGTTACCACCTCGACGAGGCTCTCATTTATCGATTTTGTAGTTGCGCGAAGGAGGAGTTCATGGTTGGGGTTCAGTTCAAAAGAGGAGAAACTACCGTTCCAAACGGAAGCTTGTTGGGATCTCTTGAATGGCCGCCATCAATACGACATCCGCTGGTGAGACTTGTGGAATGGGATGCACCAATGATGAATTTGTGGCCGTAGGTGCTTGTCCATCCAAATTGGCGCGCGATGCAAACGAGGCTGAGGGAAAAAGATGATGTTTCTGATGAGAACCTCTCCCTTCCGCTTTCATGGCCCAGGTCACGCAAGGGAGGAAACTCAATTGTCTTGGCCGCCAATCACCAAGCTTTGAAGACGTGAGTTCCAGCCAATACGAGGAAGAAGGACGGTCTTCGAACTACAAGCAAGAAGTTTAGGAGGCAATCAAAGCCTCAACGTCGCCGCAAAAGCTATAGCTATTATCGTCGTCGTCCTCCGCTATTCGTCATCAACAACAAAACCTTGGGGACAATGTTCTTTGGAGAGGAAGGTATTGGTGAGAACATATTGGGCCGAATGGGGAGGGATCTTGCTCGACACATATAAGGTTGGTGGGATGGATTAGTGTTTAATTAGGTTTGTTAGATTAGTGTGGGTTAGTTTATTTACTTTATTGGCAGGTGTAGTAGTGCATGGGCTTAGTAGTCAAGTAGTCAATTAGGAGTCTTCTGGTGTGGCCGAGTAGGTCGGCTATGGAGTTGTTAGGGTTTAGCTAGGTTACGTATTAGGTTTAGTCGCATATTTATTGTAAGTTCGACAATCATTCAGGATATAAAAATAATAAAATTAAAGGTTTATCAACACCAACTTCGTTCTCTCGCTTGTGAGATACAAACAACTCCCGAACCGAGAGTTTCGGCTCATCAATTGGTATCAGAGCCTGCGGCTTCCGCGATAATGGGGGGATCGGCGGTTGAACGTTGTGCGGTGTTGGAGGCCACCACCGAAGGATTGGTGGCGCAAGGGGAGCGGCTGGAGGCGCAAGGGGTGCGGCTGGAGGCGGCAATCCAGGCACTCCAGGCCACCCTGGCGGGATGGCTGAACGGATGGGGATGACGGTCGCCACCTTGATGATGCTTGTGGCGCAGCTAGAGAAGCTTACGCTTCAGCATGAAGGGAAGGGGGTAGTTTTGACCCCCGACGGGGAGGAGAAGCAATTGGATACCAAATTTCAAAGTGTGACTGTCGTTGAAGGGAAGCG